CTCTGTGACAGCGTCAACAGATTCTGAACATTACAGGTATCATTAAAATATAGTTGATTGGATAGCATTATACTTAACAGGTTTATCTAATAAACTAACATCAAGTCTGTATCACGCTTGATATAAAAGTGTCTATAAATGTTTGTTTGTTTGCAATCAGCAAATTTGGTTTTTAGAATTGATGAGGAATAGCAGCTGTACTAAAGACTGTAAAACTTTCCTGCCTTGTTGTTCCTAGTATTTACACTGATATGTTGGTATATCCTTTCTTTTATGGACATTGCATGTTAAATTTTTCTAATGTATAACAATTCGACAGAGTTAGCTTGAGGCTTCAGGAAATACTTCTACTGTATGTTTTGGTATTAGAAAATGATATGCACTCCATGTACAATAACACAATAGTAACACAATAAATAAGAAAATATTATAGAAAAATATTTGGGTTTGATAAAGAGCAGATTTAAATGTATTTATTATCTAAAAATTGTTTAAATATGTGCACAGCATGGCATGATTTAGTTCATAAAGCACATGGTCATGCCTGCTTTAACAGACAACATTACAGAATCCAGAGGAAGCTGTACTTATTACTGCTCTGCCTAATGTAACAGAGGTTGGTGGAGGGGGAATGATGTGAATGAGAGGAGACACGACGAGAGAAGAGGGTGGAAAGAGAGAGAGAAGATGAGTGATGCGCTCATTAAATTTCTGCTCTCTCGACCTGCAAAACATTTCCCACAGCTGATCACAGGCACATCTGAGGTCACCATTACAGTGTTAGCTATGACATCACTAGCTCTCATAATATTAAACACTGTTGCCCTCTCACACCTTTCTGCTGGAAACTCTGCTTGACAGCGTAGCCTAGTCGTTGCCTGAATTCTTTAATTCCTTACGGGCTGCGCTGCAGTCTAAGAGCATCATCTGGGGTTTATCTGGTCAGTGTGGAGACCAGTCTCAAACATCTATCCAGGCTGCCCACAGACTGTGAAACAACTCAGTAAATTAAACCACACTGATAAAGGAGTTGTCTCGCTTAAAATCTCCTTTAAATAAGACTTAAAATCTCACAAAAGTTCACATTTGCTTATTAGACTGAGTATAAAGATGTATTATTTAGTCATTCATGTGTCCTTCATAAAATCACTATTGCATATCAACAAGTACCAGCCACTGATTAGGTAAAGCAGTGAGGGGAGAACAGACGAGATATGAGAGGAGGAGTACAGGTGGAGCAGAGGGCTGAGGTGGGGAAAGTAAAAGAGTAGAAAAGGAGAGAGAGGGCAGCCGAAGACACAGGTTTCTGTGGGGCTAACAAAACTGTTCAAAATTAAAGTCAGCATGAGGTTAAGTAAAGAGGTTAATGTCACGCTTGTGGACAGTTAAACTGTTGAACTGTTTTCAACAATTAGACACGTTCACTACAGGACAGTAGCCTTTGCTGTTTTGATTCTATTTCGCATCCTCAGCACTCCCTAATTCCTTATTATGAGTACTCATTGGTCTCTCCCATACCCCCCAAACCAGCTAACACACACACACACACACACACACACACACACACACACACACACGGGGTATTAATTTGATATGCCAAGAAGGAAATAGTGTGATTCGCTTGAGTAGGTCCCTGGACATGAATCTAAAGACAGTAGGGAGCGTGCAGAGCAATCAAGTGATAAAGCTTATTATCTGAGAGGAGCTATATTCTAAGACTTATTATCTACCAGGAGTTAAATGACTTTCAGGCCCTCAAAGGCCTGATGGCCTGATTTGACTTGGCAGGAGAGAGAAAGAAGAAGGTGGTGGAGGAAAGAGATGCATGCAGAGAGATGGGAGGGGAGAATCAAGCAGGTGATGGAGATGGAGGGAAGAAGAGAGGAGAGGCAAAACCACATGTGAGGAAAGGACAAGGTGAAAAGATGATAGAAAGCATAAAGATGAGGAGAAGAGGAGGCATGGAAGAGAAGGTAATTCATTGTGGGCAGTCACTTTTCTGTCTTATTGCAGCTGCTGCGAAACCAATTGTCTTGTTAGGGTTGGGAGATATACTGTACTTTATAAAGCTGTGGACCGCTGCATCTTTGTTGAGGCAGCTCAGATAGTTTCCTACTATAGATACTGTAGATGGTTTATTGCCTTGGATACCATAAGTGTTGGCATAGCAACAATAGATTTGGTCTGTCTGTGCTAACTGGGAGCTAACAGCAAGGCTGGAGTGCAGTTCCACTGGAGGATAGTAAACGCATTGCATGATCTGATGTAACAGGTGATCATACACACTAATTTTAGAATCATCTATACTGAATTTGAATGACACCACAAGACATTGGTCTGGTGAAGACAAAAACAATAAAAGACACAGTAGGACCATTAATTACAGAAACTTGACAATTGTTTTGAGCTCTATAACAGGCAATTCAGCATCTGCAGTCAGGTTCTTCACTGGAAAGGTTGTCACTTTGATGTGAGGTCCAGCTGAAATTATGCCTAATCACATCACCTTTAAGTCAAAGTCACAGCTAGCCTAGAAGCACAGAGCACCTGTGGCACTGTACTGTATGACCTGGATCTGGACGGCACTCTGCCAGGACAAAATAAATTCAGCTTTTCATCAGTGTATTCCAGTTTCCATCTTTCTGAAACAGCAATAATGCATAAAGTTTCTGCAGTTCTTAACACTTGGGGATTACACAGTCTCTTCAGTGAACAAGTGGGATTTATGCCTCTGCAAATTACAATAATGAAAAACTTTGTTTCTTCTTATTATCCCATCATTCATCCCACCAGGGAGAAAAGCACATTGGACCACTGCTACAAGGTAATAAAAGACGCCTGTTGCTCTGTCCCTTGTGTAGCCCTCAGTTTGTCTGGTCACTGCATGGTCCATCTCATGCCAGCCTATAGGCTGAAGCTTAAAGCTGTGAAGCCTGTGGTCAAAACAGCGAAGAGATCAGCCAAGTCAGAGCTACAGGCCTGCTTTGACTGAACAGACTGGAGTGTATTTGAGCCTGTATTTACAGATCTGGATGAACTCACTGACACTGTGACATCATACATCAGCTTTTGTGAAGACATGTGTGTGCCCACCAAGACCTTTTGCACATTCAACAACACCAAACCCTGGTTCATAGCTAAGCTCAGGCAACTTTGCCATGCCAAAGAGGAGGCCTATAAGAGCAGAGACAGGATTCTGTACAGCCAGACCAGGAACACAATGACAAGGGAGATCAGAACAGCAAAGAGGAGCTACTCCAAAAAGTTGAAAAACCAGTTTTCAGCAAACAAGCCCTCATCTGTGTGGATGGGCTGAATGAGTTTTACTGTCGGAAAGACACCAGGCCCAGACAGTGTGGTCTCCTTCTGCCTGAAAGCTTGTGCTGATCAGCTGGCCCCCATCTTCATACTTATCTTCAACAGGTCAATGGAGCTATGTGAAGTCCCCTCTTGCTTCAAATGCTCCACCATCATCCCAGTTCCCAAGAAATCCTCCATCAGTGGCCTGAGTGGCTACAGAGCTGTCGCCCTGACATCTGTAGTTATGAAGTCCTTTGAGAGACTGGTGTTGGTCCACCTGAAGGGCATCACAGGCCCACTGTTGGGCCCCCTGCAGTTTGCCTACAGGCAAACAAGTCAGTGGATGCTGCAGTTAACATAGCACTGCATTACATCCTGCAACACTTTGACTCCCCAGGGACCTATGCACAGGTCCTTTTTGTGGACTTCAGCTCAACATTCAACACCGTCATCCCAGACATGTTTCACTTTAAACAGACCCGCTCACTGTGCCTGCCCCCCATCTGCCAGTGATTCACCAGCTTTCGGACCGACCAAGTCTTTACAGTTATGGCCACATAACTATAAAGACTTAGTTTGCTAAGCTACTGAATGTGAACACCTGAATCAGCTTTTTAATTGTGAGGTTCTTCTCCTTCCTGTTCAGAATGAGCCTCTGGTTCTCACTGTATATACTGTCTCCTGTTTTGAGCTGCAATCATTATACAAGCTAAAGCACTTGTGTTATTCTGATTGGCTGGGTGTGAACATGAGTCATCACCTCCAGCTAATCAGAGTAGATGCTTTGGGTGAATAAAATGTCACCAATATGTTGAAAATACACTCAGGATTTATAATAATTTTGTCATAAAGGGCCATAATCCCAGCTCTTTAAGGTACCTAAAGATGTATCTTCTTAAGCTTGAACTTTGATTGTTCCATTGAGGATATAGGGTTTTAAACAATATTTTTAGAGCCTTAACTGTTGCTAAATGTCCAAATATGGAATTGACAAAGTGGTCTCTTTAGTCTTCCAGGAAGCCCATTACTGGTACAGTAGGTAGCTTCCAGCCTAAAAGCCCTAATGAGCACACTGCACAGTGTTAACCCAGTCCCTCTCTAAACATACAATATTGACAAAGCTAATACAAAGTATGGGCTGTTGAGTCCAAAGTGAGTGTTATTCTATGTAGATGAACTCGGTACTGTATTAATTTAAAGGTAATTTTACTTTATTCACATGAATAGTGTTAAAAGCTACTTAAATCGAGACATTATATTGACCAAAGGGTTTAAAATGATGAACTACTGACATTATTCACCACTCAAGTGCAACCTAACAGCCTCAGTAGTTTATGTGTGCGATAGAAGACAAGACACAAAACTACAACACACTACCTTGGTTGGTTAGGATTATTCTTTATTATTAAGTGCCACAAAATGCTTTGTGTTCATTGTGCTTACATTTTCTGAATACTGGCTCAAAAAATCCCCAGGAGAGTGTCTCTCTGCAACAGAGATCGAAACCTCCTGAGATACTATACAGCAGTAAAAATGTCTTAATCCAAAGGATTCTTTACAAACCCTCTTGCAATAAATGATTATTTAGGTTATCGTTGTTCTTTAACTTGGAAATACAAAAAAAGAAGAGAGGTCAAGCTAGTACAAGGTTTTCAATTCTTCTCTACCTGAATTCTAGTTAGTTTCATTGTGCTACTTTCATTAAGGTGGAGATGACTAGAATGGAAGTGCTTAGAGAGAACAGACCAGCTGGAGCTCACCCAGAGATAGACACACACAGAGACAAACTCACCTTTTCTGCCACACAACAACAGTTTTAGCCAAATACCCTTAAGATGTTTCAACTGCAGTGCAAAGTTGCCAAGAGCTTTAATGCACAATGACACACTTTGTAACTCAACAGCCGGAGCCACTGCGGCTCAGAGGTTTGGTAACAATTTCAGTAGCTGTAGCTCAGCATTTTTACTGTTCTCTTTCTCTTTCAGACAGCAGTGAAAGATACTGTAGGAATTTAGAGAGTTGGTGGTTACAATAATAGCATATTGTTATTTATATCTACCAGAGATTGATGTTTCAGATGTATCAAGAAATATGAAGGCAATACTATTGTTGTTTGTTTGTTTGCATATACACTGTTGTGCTTTTAATATTCATTTAGATTTGAGTAGTAATTGTGCTTAAGCACCTAAATTGAATGCTTTGCCTACTTTGTATGTATAGTTGTTGTGCTCAAATCTGAACAATAAAACAACAGAACTGTGAGCCCTAACAAGCCCTAATAGGCTGGAGCTCTATGTCTAATTGTCTGATATCATTCAAGTAACTGCAGCTCAAATCTAGTTCACACATCAGGGGGAGAGATAAGACCTAAAATTTGCTGACTCAGTACCGACTGCTCCAGTCACCACATAAACTGTCTCCTTGGTATTGACCCGTGAGCTACGTTTTTCATAAAAGCTTCTCTTGTATCAGCCTACTGTGTAAAAAACACATCACAAATGTTGACTTTTGAAAACTGATTTCAGAAAACTGCCAAATCTGATTGCGTTTGATGTTGTGTACAGGTCTTATAAGTTTTTGTGGGATGTAAATTACATTAGGTAATGGGTCAGTGTGACATAGCAGACTGTCCTTTTGTTCCTCTAACCTTAAATGGCATTGGATATCAGTCAACCGCATCTGTAACTGAGTAATCTCATGCCTGAGCAATCGCTACTATTATAAAAGCTTGTATGTCAGATACTTGAATATTAAACCATTTCCTTTCAGATGTTGACAGCTGGACTATAGACAGATTTTGTAGCCCACAAAAGCTTATCAGCAAGCTGTGTGTTCTCACATGTGCAAGAATGCACCCATCGCGCTGTGCGCATAAACAAATGTGTCTGTTGTGGACATACAGTATGGCATATGTACATAAACATTTCATTTAACTGTGTGGCTCTGTGTATCCTCAACCTGTCACCAGGGAAGCTTCACAAATCTGTAGAAAAGGTCTCTGAGCTTCACAGAACTGGGTTCAGCAACACTGGTGTTGGCCACCTTAGAGCAAAGGTTAAGCTATCTGTGGGGTCAGGGTTGATTAGAGTTAGCCTGTCTGTAGGTCTGGCACTCACAAACTTAGCCCGTTGTTGGACCAGTAGGGATGAATGGGGCCTACTGCAGAATAATTAGGACACAGACCTTTGTATGTACAGTGTGGGACTCTAACAGTTAACCTGGAATCAGACCAGCTAACAAAGTTTGAAGTGCATGCTTTTTCTGTGGTTTAAGAATGCACACTATGGTTTGGAAGTGCACTGGAAGGGGAGCTGAATAATGCATTGCATTTAAAGTTGACCTCAGTCCAACAGTGAACCAAACTTTGACTTGGGTTTCTATGGAAATTATATGGTATTTAGCAAGAGAACACCATGTGGGCTGTCTGTGCCTTTGGGATAGTGCACATCTCAATGTACAATTCTCCAATCTGGTTGTTGTATAAACCTCGTTTTATTTTATTTCATTCCATTTATATACCAAAAGAAAGATATGTCTCTTGGTGTTACTAAAAGGTTGATAAAGACCCATTGTTACATTATTTGGCTGCATGACACAAGAAAGAAGATTTTTAAAAAGAAGTCTGTCCAAGATTAGGCCTCTCCTGGTTATTGTCAGTAGGCTTACGTCATGCTTGAGTTAGCCTTGTGCAGGTCTGTCAGGGTTATAGTCATCCTACAATAGGCCTCATTCCCAGCAGGCAGCTGATCCCAGCCTCTCTAACCTACATCCTACATTAGTTCTACTCACTAAGAGGCAGGCAGTGCATAACACGCGAGGAAAGACAGGACTTTTTTTTGTTACTCTAATACTACACTGGCATGTTCCCTGATGTCTGTAATATTAGTATTTTTTCTGTTTATGACTATAGGTGAAGTGAAACATACCTGATTTTAAACTGCTATACAGTAGTAGGTAATACTTCATAACTTCATCATAAAATACCATGCATTAGGTGATTATTGCTTTAAAAGAGTCCTACGGAGGCTTCAAGAGAAAAATATTGCCCTCAGGTTCTATCTATAGGATTTTGGCAAAAAATCATAAGCTTTTTATGATGTTGGCATAGATTCGCATTATTATTATTATTATGTTTTTTGTTTTTGTTTTTTTGTTTGTTTTTTGCATGCAACAATGTTAATAAGAAAAAGGTAAACAACAGAATTAAAATGAGTACTCAAAGTGACATATGCTTTGGCCTGTGTGAATAAAAAAGGTTGGCAAATATTCTACATGTACAAAAATTAAAGTGCAACAAATAAATAATGTCATCACTTCATTGTTACTAAATCAAGTATAAACTTAACAATAAATAAAAAAGAAAAATGTTTAAATAAGTACTGTAAATAAAATACCTCAGTAGTGGTGAGAATATGGTCACTTGGTGCAGCAGAACATTTTTATCATTATTATTATTACTACTATTATTACTATTATTCCCCAAAAAAGCAATATCAAAAGGAAAAATCTTTTACTGCTTTTCAGTAGCTATAGGCTTACTCTTGTCTTTGTCATCATCATCATCAATGTCCCAAAATATATGGTGTCTTACTGTATTTAGATGCCAGAAGGAAGTCGAGTTAGTACTATTGTCTCTATCCAGAACAGACAGAGGAAGAGGAGGTGAAGCATTTTTGAGGAAGTGCATGCGTCGATCAGTTATATCCTTAAGTGGGAAAATCTCAAGGAGAAGAATTGTGCTATCTTCATCATCATGGATAAGTTCCAAGTGAAAGGTGGGGGTAAGTGAGAGAGAGGGAGGAGAGAAAGCGAGGTCATATTCCGACCAAAGTAGATTGTTTGTGTTTGCAGTTTGGCCTGTAAGGATAATGGTAAATTATGTCTGCAGTTTTGCCTGTTTTATCTATGCAGGGTGTCATGCGTCTAGGGGGCCAAGAGGAGAGAAGGGGCCTTTGAAGCAGGCAGACTCGTAGTGCTTGTTCAGGTAACTCTTGAGCGCAAAGGTCTTGTTGCAGCGTTTACACTTGAAGTGCTTGAAGGCCGAGTGGGTCTGCATGTGAGCGCGCAGGTTCGAGCGATCTGCAAAGGCCTTTCCGCAGTGGGCACACCCGAATGGCTTCTCACCCGTGTGAGAGCGCATGTGCCCCTGTAAAAGCCAAGGTCGACTGAACGCTTTCCCGCACACATCACACTTGTGCTTGAGGTCGTGAGTGAGCAGATGCATGGCCATGGCGGGCATGGACACGTACACCTTCCCGCAGGTCGGACATTTCTTTGCCAGCTTGCTGTCCAGCGAGCGGTGTGTCTGTTTGTGCCGGCTCAGGTTGGAAGACGTGGCATAGGTTTTGCCGCACTCGTTGCACGTGTGCCTTTGGATGCTCCTGGGACTGCCAAGAGCTTTCCTCCTTGAGCGGCCATCAGTGATGAAGAAGGCATCAACTGTGTAGCCCTCACTCACTGCAGCATCTCCGTTGATGTAGCCATCAGTGATTTCTGAGCTGGGGCTGTCGGGAGACTCAGAGTCAGGGGCCCCGTAGTCACTGTGAATGCCATCGTAGAGGGGGTCAGGGGAGGGCACCTTGATCCCACTGTCACTCTCACCATCGTACACAACAGGGCTGATGTAGTCACTGATGTAACCAGCTGGTGTGGAGAAAAGAAATCAGGATTAGAATCTAGAACACTGATGTGGATGTTATAATAAAAATGGGTTTATGCTGAACCCTGGCATGGGAATCAGAGATACTGTATATGAAATCAGACTATAGATTTGTTTCCCCAATGCAGCCACAACATAATTTCATAGACAGATAAGAGTGCAGGTATAGAGAAACACAAGGGGCACATCCTTCTACCCACCACACCAGAAAACACTGGTTCATATATTTTACATGCAAAGGGCATGTAGAAGATAATGTATCTACCTGGAGAAAAGTGTGGATTCAAGAGTCGTTCTTTCTTGACTGTATCTTTCTCTTCAGAGATCGTACTGACAGAGATTCACTGTACTGTGCTTACGTATTGATGTAAACAACTATATTAGTGCATATTACACCATCAGTGATATGCAACTGGCCTTATGCAGTTGTGTAGTGGTGTCGTCTGTGTCTGTGTGCATCTTACTGACGTGCATTTATTAAAATACAAACCATGGAGTTGAGGGGTTGACATAAATATTCCAAAGAGCTGGTCATTCAACCAGTAACTTGTTTCTAACATGCTGTTGTATGTAGACATTAGTAAACCATTTACTGGATGGAATCCACTGCTGACATGACACACGGAACAGCAGTGCAGAGACATGATGCACTTTTCATTTAGATGACAGGACAAGCTCACAAAATCAAAGATTGCAACGTTTTCAGTTACAATAAGATCTAAATCTAGGTCAGCTATTTTACATATAATTCCAGGACATAAAACCACAAGATTAGCTGTGGTTCTGCACAGTACTTTATTTTTTAATGAAAGGCGTCATGCTGATTTTAAGAGGCACCAAGTATTATGGTCCTCCTCACTCTAAATGTACTCATAAAAACTGTTACCATATGTCTGGTGTAAAAGTACACAGTAAATATTGATAGTTGCCGTTCTTCAGCATCTACTGTATCTGTAGTATACTGCAGTGACTTTAGCCAAGGCCAAGTCCCATTTCCTGCATTTACTCTATTATGTGAGGAATGATGCTCAACTCAACATCACTAATGCAGCAGCTACTTTTAAAAACTGCTTTCTACAACTTATGTGAAAGACTGAATAGGCATATTGTGGGACAGAACATCTGTCTCTCCCCTGCACATCTGTGGCCAGTAGTTGGGTGTTAAAAAAAAATGCCTGCAGCGATAACTCGGCAACATAATTCCCCTCAGCTCTCAAAGGTTGCAGTTAAAACACTTCCTCTGTGAAAGATAAATGCACACAGGCTGACCCTGAACTTGAGAGAGCTGATTTAGCGTGTGAAAATGAGCATCAGCACCATGGACAGATCCAGTGCGGTGCAGGTCAGTGGCACGGTGACAGCAGGCTGCTGTACTGCAGCCAACAGTGTGGTAGTTTGTGACTGGGCAGGAGGTCGGAGACGTGCACGACATCTTTATGGGCAAAATACAGCTACTGGAACCTGTTCTAAAGCTGTACAGAAACATACAAGCAGGCTGGCTTATGCTGCTATAAAATGCATATCTGAAGTCATGCTTATCCTCCATTTCTAGGTGTGCATGTTTTTAGAGGAATCATATATAGTACACTCATCGGCCACTTTATTAGGTACACCTGTACAGTTGTGTGCAATTGAATGCAACACTTCCACCTTAACATCTATGTTTATGACTACATTATATTTAGAGGTGTCTCTATATGTTTGTCCTCCCCAGCTACATACATGAGATGGTGAGAATATTAGGAACACCTCTGTATGTAAAGTAGGTCCAGTACAACAACACCTAACTATATGACCTCAATAATAAACATACATTTGAATTTATATATTTATGACAATTTCACCAAAAACTAGAACATTCTGAGTTTCATAAACACAGATGTTAAGGTGGAAGAGCTGCATTCAATAGCATACAAGTGTACAGGTGTACCTAATAAAGTGAGCAGTGAGTATATATCTCTTGTACATACCCAGGCTAAGGATTTTATGTACAAACATAAATACACAAAGTAGACAGTTTTTCTCACTTTACTGTCTTTAAATCTACCCATAATGTGACAGATTTGGTTTGTTGGCTTGAATAAACACAAGTACATGTAACAGCATACAGTCATAACTTTTCCTGCACACAAGTGTCAGCTACTAGCAGCAACAACACAGGCTGTATTCCCACCTTTAATGTCCATTAAATATACTGTATACCCTATAAACACCTGATACATACCCAGTGCCTACTCATCATGTCAACTTGTTGAGAAAATACAGCTACACTAAGCTCAACAGATAGACACAAAAAGGGAAGTAAGAAAAACAGCTCTACAGTCTAGATTGTGACCATTTCTCTTTTGGGCTGTTGTTAGGTAACTCACAGCTCGATACGTTCAAGACGAGAAGTTCTTGTGAGCAGGGCATAACATTTTTTACAAAGTAATCTATTTGGAAAATTTCAGGAAGGAGTGAACCATTATATTCGCTATAATGACTGCATCCTGATTCCTGTTATTACTGTACATGATAACACCTAGCCTACTTCATATCTGCCCCAACGTCCCTTCTAAATGCAAAGTCCCATCACGCACTACGCACGGAACATAAATTATTCTAAAAGTCGATTTGTTCAAGCAGAAAGTTGTTCCTAAGTGTGTGCGCTACTGTGGGTAAGCCTGCGCTGCACTCTGCGTGGAAGCTGCGTGGAGCTGTGGAGACGGAGACAAAAGGTGGCCGGGACAGGCAGGATGGCGACGTGCTGCTGTGGCAGCATAGCGCACGGCTGGTAAACCTCGACATTATAAATACACCACCGACAGCTTTTGCTTTGTGAGCAGAGGAATAGGGGCAAGACAGCGCGCCGAGGGCGGAAGTAATGCAGTGGTTTAATTTACATGGCAAAGGCATCAGGGTTTTTTTTTTTTTCGTGTAAAATGTGACGCACACAGTTAGAGGATGTGGGGAAGTTCACAGCTTCAGATTAGCACAGGGCAGCACAAAACAATGAATCACACCTTGGGATGATCGCGATAGGGCCTCCATTATTGTGCCTAAACAGCAAATCTATAAATAATATACAATAAAATATGATCCGTATTCTACTATTTTACCAAAACAGTCTAAAATAAGGAATCTTCTTTAATAGAAATGTCACTGAGACTCAGAACCTGGTAACTTACATTCAACAGTTCAACGGTGATTGAAGTGAGGCAGGAGGAACCAGGGATGTCCATTATGGTGCCTTTTTTCTTTTCATGCCACAATGTGGCAGTTTAGGGTTATGGCTTCTATGGATATGGCATACAGAGATCAATGCATTTTTTAATCTTCAATCTTGACTGTGCAGAAACTTGCCAACACAGCAAAAACGGGACAGGTACACCTGGTCACGGGGGACAGAGATGAAAACATAGGAACGGGTCTGTGTAGTGTTAACCAACCCACTGCTTGTTTGTGCTGCACCTGCAGGCGTTTGGTGGTCACCTTTGTCAGCGGAACATTGTAACCCATAAACGAAATTGTCAGAAATGAAAGTATCGTTATGTTTTGTCAAATTTTACCTTCGTACCACATCTACACCCAACCTGCAGGATACAAGGAGGTAGACTAGTTTTCATGCAACAGCTTGTCATAAGCGTGCTTGCAGAAACATGTAGGCTACAGTTTAATGAACATTTCAACATCGACTAGGCTTCTGTAATTCCACAAAACCGAGTGAAAGTGGATCAAATATTCTTAACCA